CAGTTTCCCAGTGACTGAACATTGTGATGGAAAATTATATTTTGAGTTTTATCTTGAGTAGCATGTTCGCTTGGTGCTATCACTTTGTCACTGAGAGCTGTGGTCTCCGGGATAAAAAATGAGATAGCATAGCACCTTTTGGCCAAACATTCTGGGACCAAGCAATATCCATCTCTTCTTCCCTCACAGATATTTTGTAAGATGAATATGACTCTGGATATTTAGATTTCATGGCTATACATCTCACGTCTGTGAGACTGAGTTTCAAGAAGTCAGTAAGTTCTTCAACTTTTATATCAGGTCTAATGCGAGTTAGGTGAAGATCTACATATCTTGGGACCGTCATCAGTACACCACTCCTTTCACCAATGAGGAAATCATTCTTCCTGTTCTTACGTCTGGGTTTCGCTTGAGTCCATGAATTGGTTTTATCAGACACTGCGTTCACCTCAGTAAGTTGCTGTATTTCATTGATTTTTGCCATTGATGTTGCTTGCTGAATACCCAAGGCCACATCAGAATATGAAATTGAATTATGTTTTTGTTTACCCTTGGAATCAACATTTGGTACTTGCTGGGATGTTTGTTGCATTGTCTCAACTTTTGTTTTCCTAACCTGGGTTATCATTTTTATCCTCTCGTCTTCTTCTTTTTCTTCTTCTCCTCCTAACTTAGTCTCAACCATATTGTTTAGATTTCTAGTTGGCAAAGAAGATGAGATAATTGAGGTTACGTTCGGCGCAGTCGGTGTCGTGGCCGAGTTTATTTTGGAACTCATGGACGAGTTTTTACTCGAGTTTTTATTGCTGTAGTTTTTTTTGTTTGATGCTGCATTGTGGTGTTGGTCTTCCAATTTCGCTTCCAGATATGAAATCTTTTCTTTCAGCAAAACATTATTTTCTTGTAGTATAAGACATTTTTCTTCCATCTCCAGGATGATTCTCTTATACAATAGAATATTGTCACTGGCTTCGTGGACATTTTCACTTTTGTGCCTAACTTTAACCTCATTTTCTGCAACATGCTTACAAGGGGCACTTTTTGCGACGGCTGACTGCTTCAAACACGCCGGATGAAAAAATTCACTGCACACTATACACTTTTGTGATGTAACTACTTTCTTGTTACAGTGGAAACACAATTTATCATCGTTATTCTTTTCGGTATTTTTGAGAGCTAAAACCGCGTCAACCTCAGTCGGCGCCATCTTTATATGATGGAACCCGGTGGAAAATTTTGCTTGAAATGTATGACATTACCTATTCTGAGAGGTGGACCATCAATGAAGTGAGTAATTAATCTAACAACATTCAATTGTGACTCAATATTTGACATACATTCAAAGGAATGAATGGATCTATCATCACCACCCATCATCACCAATAGGTACCAATCATGTGAAGCAAATATTAAAATGTGAAGATAATCCAAATGCTGTATTTCCAGTAGTTTTATATTTCTTCTCATGTTGTTTTCTGTATCTGTGTATATATTTAAACTCAATAATATTCTATGGTGAAATTTTTTTCACATCAAAGCTAGTAGTAAAAAATCCTGTTTGAGATTAAAACCAGTTAATCTGGAAATAGTCATAAAACTCTTCAGTCAATTGCTTCTGATTATTGACCAGCATAATAAACAATAATGATTCTGATGCTAGAAGTGTTGATGAACCAATTTTTTTTCTCAATATCACCATAATAACTAACTCATTTTTTCCATGCAGACTGCCATTTTGTATCATAGTTTTCAATGGAATGAATATATGCCAACAAAATTATGTTGTTCCTCATGAGCATCCTACAACCGTTTTCAATTCTCTTGAAGACAGACTGTAGAAAATATAATATACATACCAAGCAAATTTGAAATTGACACATTAGAAAAGTACCACCCCCAAGAATATTTTATTTTTGACAGTAGAAAAAAAACTAAAATAGCCTATCACAAGGGATTTTTTGCCGACACGAATTAACAAATAAATTTCTACTTACAGAAAAATAAACAGAAGGCAGCAAAAAGTGTGTACATTTTGAAATGGGACACTATTTCTCAGTTTATGAGCGTTCAGAAATAATAAAGTTTGATCGATTTTGAATGATTTTCAAAAGGAGGCCTTTACATTGATTACAATATAGATTTTCAGTGATCACTACCAATGGGAATTGATTGTTCATAGATAACAATATACCTAATATACCTCGATTTATAGATAGATATATAGGGTGTTCTATTCAAAATTCCTACACTTTTTGTTGCTTCCTGTATATCTTCTCATATAGTGAAAACGTATCTTGTGTTTTGAGGAGGAAAAAAAATCCCCTGTGAGTCGGTTTATTTTATTTTCCTTCTACTGTAAAGAATAAGAGTTACATTGTGTCACCCAGTATAATATACAATATTTCTCTTCTCAAGTGTGTTTTGTCAATATAATGACTGATCATTTTAATCCTTATCAATTATCAAAAATAATGAATAAGTTCAATTTTTCCATATTTTGTTTCAGTTATTTTCTAGAAGTTGATATTAGTAGTGCTGTCCTGTAATGAATTTTTAAACATAATAATTATATTATTATATTTAGCTCCCTTTATTTTTATTACTCAGCAACAAAGATGAATAAATGTTCTATGTTAGTTCCAAATTTCGATATTTTGTTTTGATTATCTTCTAGAAGTAAATCAGTGCCTAATGTTGTAGTGTAATGATTCTTTTGATGTGATAACTATTATTATATTTGTCTGTTTTGTTAATAAATATCAAACATGATGAATGAATGTTCTGTGTAAGTTCTAAATTTCAATATTTTGTTTTGAATAACTTCTAGAAGTAAATCACTACCTAATGCTGTAGAGTAATGATTTTTTTTATATTTGATGGCTTTATTCTTAGTACCTACTTATCAAAAATGATGATCAAATTTAATGTTCTGTGTTAGTTCTAAATCTCTTTCTTTATTTGCTGTTAATCATTTTCTAGAAGTGAATCAGTAAAGATGTAGTGTAAAGAATTTTTCATGCGATAACTGTTATAACATTTGCTCCCCTTCATTTTCAATACTCAGCAAAAATAATTAATACATGATATATTTGATTTTGTAATGTTTATATTTTGTTTTAGTTATTTTATAGAAGTGATTCATATATTTTCAATATAATAACTGTAAATATATTTGCTGGCTTCATTCTTAATACTCATCAAAAATGATGAATAAATGTTCTATGTTAGTACTTAATTTTTATATTTTGTTTTAATCATTTTCTATTAGTGAATCAGTGATGATATGTAATGCAAAGAATTTATTGATATAATAACATAATTATATTTGCTGGCTTTATTCTTAATACTCATCAAATGTTCTGTTAGTGCTTAATTTTTATATTTTGTGTTAATTATTTTCTAGAAGTGGATCAGTAAAGATGTAGTGTGAACAATTTTTTGATGTAATAACTGTTATAACATTTGCTACCCTTTATTTTTAATACATTAATGTTCTATGATATTTTGCAATGTTCATATTTTCTTTTAATTATTTTCTAGAAGAGAATCAGTAAAGATATAGTGATGGTTTTTTTGATATAATAACTATACAATTGCTCCCTTTTATTTCTAACATCAAAAATAATGGATAAATGATCTGTTATTATGAAATGTTTATATTTTGTTTCAATGACTTTCTAGGAGTGAAACAGTAATAATGTATTGTAATAAATTTGTGAATCGGGAATGCTGTCATGTATGAATTTTTCGAAAATACCTTATTATAAAATGTGCTTTCCTTTATTATTTTCACAGCAAAACTGATTTATAAATGAATGATATATGTTAGTTCTGATTTGAATATTATGTTTGATGATCTGAGATGAAGTAATCAGAAATTTATCAGAAATTGTTGTATATAACATTATGTTACAGACTGGACTTTTCAAGCTTTCAAATAGTTGATTTATATTGTAAGCAATTTAAGCATATGGCATTAGATAATACACCTGTAGTCATTAATAATCATTTTGATAGGTATTAAATAGAGTCCGACCACGTTAACTTTGGGACAGCATGTGACGCAACGCATATGCATATTCAATGCATACGCGACCACGTGCTGTCCCAAAGTTACCGTGGTCGGACTCTACATTATCATTAGTGGAGAGTTCGATAGCTCTAAGATCATAGCTTTGATATAATCACCTGTTTAAAATTATGACACCAACTACAAAATGATATTATATTCTTCTCATTGCAATTTCTATTAAATCATTGGGATAATAATATATCAATAAGGGTAATCAAAGAGTATTGCATTGGGGCATAGTTACCCTTATTCAAATATTGAGAGCTTGAGCAAAATTAAATGCTATGGTAGAAAAATTTAAAACTCAAAGAAATGTGAGTGGTGCCTTAATTCTGAACAGGAGTATTATCATTTTGATATCAGAAAATGATCTAACATTCTTTATGTTCTCCTTGACATCATTCACTAATTTGAATTTATAATAATTAAACAACTCAGAATGGTCTTAATTTTTGTTTTTCTTGTAAATAATCAAATGTGGCATTCCCTCCAGATACAAAATAATGTGATGATTATCCATATTAAAGAAAGCTTTGAACAATTTCTGCCCCAGAGGACTATTCATTGATAATCCAAAGTACCTATTTCATCTCGTATTTTATATTTTATAGATGACTATGTCACAGATTAACAAACCTTACTGTTAATCTGTGACTATGTTATAGTTGATGAGTACAAAACAAAAATTAAATATTTTCAATATACTGGAATCCATTTTTCATATATATGATAGGTATATATTATTGAAGTAATGATTGACGACGAGAGAATAGAACAAGTTAAAAATTTTCAGTACTTAGGGATAACACTAGAAGAAACGGGAAAACACGAAGTGGAATTAAGCAATAGGATAGAAAAAGCTAACAGAGTATATTACTCATTGAATAAGGGATTCATAAATAAAAGAGAAATATCACGAAAAACTAAAATGAAAGTCTACAAAACCATTTACAGACCTATACTAACGCACGGCTGTGAATCATGGGTATTAACGGAACAAGAAAAGAGCAAAATCAGAGCAACAGAAACGAAGTATCTGAGAAGAGTGAAAGGCATTACAAGGAGAGAAAAAATCAGAAATGTAGTAATAAGAGAAGAATTGGAAATAGAATCGATAGAAGAATATATTGAGAAAAAACAACTAGCGTGGTGGGGACATCTACAAAGAATGAAAAACGGAACACAGGTCAAAAGGATATGGGAGTCCAAAGCTCAAGGGAAAAGGAAAGTAGGGCGACCAATACAGACGTGGGACAATGTTGTTGGAAACATTTTGAAGAAGAGAAGAAAAACGTGGCCAGAAGCTAAGGACTTAGCACAAGAAAGAAAGGAATGGAAGAAATTTATAAACAATAATTATTATTAATGTACTGAAACATGCACCCTTACACCATATGGGTAAAAAGGGATATGATTATATATATATATATATTATTGAAATAATATTTCAAATTATGATAGGTGGTAATTGAAATAGTAAGCTTATACTGCTTGCCTCTAGAAACTAATAATGCTCTCTCAGCATAACTTATCAATGAGTCCAAGCAGAAATGTTCTGACTGTTGGAGTTTTGGTATGGAAGTATACAAAATTGAGCAAAATCTTATGTAATAAGTACTTATTCAAAATATAATGAAAATTATTACTGAACTACTCCCTTTGTATAACATCAATGCCTGATATTAAAACTCTCATGAACACCAATATCAAAATGTTCCTCCAAAACTGATGAACCTTTTCCACATACTTCAATAGTCATTATAGCTTCCCTTCCACTTACAGTAACAGCATCAAGAAGCCTCCAAATAATTTCATTCACACCAATATCTGGTTTTCTACATACTTCAATAGGCTTTGCTACCACTTACAGTAACAGCATCGAAAATAAGCCACCAGATTGAGAGTGTAGTTACATTTAAAAAAATACATCATGTAGATTAGACCAGAGATCAGTCACATATCACCTGTATCAGATAGTGAGACTTTTCCTTTATTTCGGTAAATTAAAAGCCACAGAGTTGTTTCGTTGAATGAGACGCTCCTGGTAAAGTTGTATTTTTATTTTTCATGCCGTCAAAGGTGCTCAGTGGAGAATAAATACTAGATGAAAACTATTTATAACTCGATCATTCTGCTGTAGAAACCTTGTGTACATTTTGTTCCATTATTTCCTGCTTTTTTCAACATGATATCAATTTGATTTTTCTTCGGCATGCACATCATTCTCCTGATCAACATCAAATGAGAAATGTCAATGTCAACAACAATAATTTGAATAATTCCTAAAAAAAATTCTCGCCGCCACTGTCGTTGGAGGCGAGATGTAAACAACGATTGTCATTTGTCATCTAAATGAAAAGACCTATTCAGCGGTTGACTTCGGGGGACCTTATTACATAACGTTCGATCGCCATCGTGGTGTGAAAACTTGCAAGGCTCACATATGTTCATTTAGAACTTGCTAGTGATCTTCCCTCAGAGGTTTTCCTAGCGGCCTTGCAACGATTCATCTCACGACGAGGTCGAGTTACTACCCTATTTTGTGATAATGCTACAAATTCCACAGCAGCTAGTGAAGAAATCGCTCTGATGAAATCTGCTGTCCAACAAGAAACCATAACTTTTCAGTTTTCTCTTCCGGCCGGTCCTCATTTCAACGGTCTCGCTGAGGCTGGTATTAAATCCGTCAAGCGTCATCTATCTAAAGTTATTGGAAAACAGATCTTGACGTTTGAGGAATTTTATACTGTCCTCACATTGATCGAAGAGATTTTAAATTCTCGCCCTCTCACCCCTATTGGTTCTGATACCGAAGATATCGATGCGCTCACCCCAGGCCATTTCCTCACTCTGGAACCTCTCTCCTCGTTGCCCACACCCGACTTCACCGCGACGCTCATGAATCGATTTTCACGGTGGCAATTGCTACAACGTCTACATAGCGACTTCTGGCGACGATGGAACCGCGAATATCTGCATACTCTGCAGCAGCGTGGTAAATGGCTGGATTCGGGCATATCCCCTGCTCTAGGTACGTTAGTTCTTGTCAAGGATGAAAATAATCCACCCTGTAAGTGGACTCTAGCCAGAATAATCAAATTGCATCTCGGCGATGATCAAATTTGCAGAGTGGCCACTATAAAGACCGCAACGGTCAATCTGATACGACCTCTTGCCCACTTTCGGTCAATGATTAACATTATTATATTATAATTTTTTTTGTTTTCATTTCATCGCGCCTTTTTTGTTTTTTTTTGAGTATATCAATTACTAGAGCAAATCAGGTATAGTAGATAGTATGGGTTTTTATTTTTGTTTATTTTCTCAAAAAAATGCACATGCGACTTTGGCTACTTTATATCATTTATACATGAGATACTTTTCTTTTTTTACGTAAAAAAATGCTATGATGCCTTTGCCAGGGCAGAATGTTGTGGAACTAGTAATTTTTCTTAAATTTGTAAACGATTCAAATTATTCGCGCGCAAAGTATAGCACCAGGAGATCATACATCGCTGTCCGGATGTCACATGACCTACGCAAGCTAAACAGGTGCCTTGGAGCACTTTTCGTTAGCAGTCTTGTCCAGCGAACGTAACCATACCGCGCCATAATCACAATCTGATCATTTTTCTTTGAATATGATTAAACTATACGAACATTTTTACCTTCGGTCCCAACATTCAGTCATCCGCAGTTAATCGATATATGTGAGTGTTGTATTGTGTACTGCGTCGAGACAGCCTCAGTGTTAAGTGGAGCTCACGTGGAGACCGGCCTTTCTAAAGCCGCATTGTGGACTACCTCAAACCTCAGCAAGAAGGCCCTTTGAAGTCCTAGCTGCAAACAATCAACCAACAGCCAAATATCGACCACTCTGTAAGTCTCTGAGTGCTATAAACCTTAATTTTTGGATATAATTGCAATTCATTACTTTCCCCAAAAAATTCAACATTTTTCAATCAGCTCAAAATTCTTTTTCCTCGTTATTTTATTCACTCTGCAACAAAATGAAATTACATTATTGCCGCTCCCCATCAACAAAACTCTATCTAGACCCGAATTGGACGTCAAAATCTTCGTTATATAAATCTCACAAGCAGTGGTGTCAAGATACCAAAATTTCATGTCTTTCAATTGCCTCATTCTGCCATGTCTTTGAAGAAATGAACTTATCCAGCCAAAAAAGGATGAGTGTGATACATGTGTGTCTCATCGTACTGGTAACTTGAGTGAAGAAGCTTTTTTGGTGCACCAAGATGAGAAAAGTGAAGCAAGAGAAGAAAAAGCTCGAGACAAACAACAAAGTTTTTTGTATGGACCTACAATCAGTTCTCTTAGCGCCCAAATCAAATACTTTTTCTTTATATTTTAAAACTAAACTTATCGTACATAACTTCACAATAATTGATATGCACACTAAGGACGGTTATTGCTTCTTGTGGCACGAGTCATCTGGAGGAGTCTCGGCAAATGATTATGCATCCATTATTTGCCAATTCATAGAAAATGAATTTCGCAAAAAATAGAACCTGGTCAGAAAATCATCCTGTACAGTGATGGATGCACATCACAAAACAGAAATTCAACGCTAGCTTATTCTCTCATCAATTTATCAATCAGATTAAATGTCGCCATTGAGCCAAAATTCCTTGAAAAAGGACATACCCAAATGGAAGCAGATTCAATGCACTCCACAATCGAGAGACAAGTACGACGCAGGAATATAAACGTACCAGCAGATTATGTTGGTATTCGTCTTCATGCTCGTGAAAAGCCCAGACCCTATAAAGTATCTTACTCAACTTACGACTTCTTCAAGGATCTCTCCAAACTATCTTTCAAGACAATACGACTTGGTAAGAGAGTTGGTGATCCTGTTGTCACAGATATAAGATCATTGAAGTATACGGCGGAAAGCTCAGTATTTTATAAACTGAGGCACAATGAAGAATTTTCGGAATTGGAATACAGTCGTGTCAAGAAAGATTTGAGGAAAAAATTTGCCCTTCAGGACATACCACAAATATATCCTGGACCAATTGCTATAAAGCAAGAAAAATATTTGCATTTACAATTCCTCAAGAGGAGTATTCAAAAAGATCATCATAATTTCTACAATACTCTGCCATTTAAATAGAACCTACCCACTTTGTCGAGGAATTTTATAGTGATATTTTGAAGAGTTTGATATTGAAAATATTTTGACTTATTACGGTAATGTTGCTTTAATCCATGGTGAATTTAGTTTCGTGAAGTGCGTTTTTTTACTTAATTTTTTTACTAGTAGAATATACAGGGTGATTCAAAATTCGATGTAACTATTTCAAGGGCGTATTGTTGGGATCAAAATAAGACTTTTTCTTCAAATCAACATGTGTCCTAAAATGCACCCCCTCCGAGCTACAGCCCCTGTAAGTTGGGAAAAAAAACAAGATTATCTAAAACTGTGACTATAATTACGAATCGAATCTTCTGAAAATTGGCATACCCCTGTTTTTTTAGGCACTCTATTCTTTTTTTGCTCCAAAAATTATGTAAACCCAGTTTTGGGGGAGTTGGAGGGGGGTCCACACTTTTATTGGCCCAATTTTTATGTTCAAAAAGAGAAACTATGTAGGTAACAGGCAACTGTTTATAAATCCCTCTCATCACCTCGGTAATGTCATTAAACACTAATCATTGTTAGTTGTCAGATTTTAGCTGGTTGATTACACTTGTTATTGCGATCAAGAAATTTGTTTAAGTTAAAAATGGAAAATGTGCCATTCTCTTTCGCTCATCTTGCTGACATTCATTTTGTTTATGGTCTGGCTGGTAACGCATTGGAAGCCCAAAGATTATACGGAATTAGGTTTCCTCAACGCCGACTCCCCGATCATCGTACATTTACAAATTGTCATCGTCATCTCAGTGAATACGGCAAATTCCAAACTGTAAGAAATGATGCAGGCAGGCCACGAGAAATTCGCCACCCAGTAACAGAGGAACAAATTTTAAATTTTATGATCGACGAAAATCCCCAGTTGAGTACTAGACAAATATCTTTAAATTTGGGTATTTCCCAATCAACTGTGTGGCGCGTTATGCACGAAAACAGCTTATATCCATATCACGTCCAACGTGTTCAAGGTTTGCTGCCACGGGATTTTCCGCGGCGTTTGCAGTTCGCTAGGTGGATATCCAGGAAGTGCACGAGGGATCTTAACTTTTTATCTCGGATCCTGTTCACCGACGAATCTCAGTTTACGCGAGATGGTGTGGTGAATTATCACAATGTACATGTTTGGGCACTGGAAAATCCGCATGAAATAAGGCAATCCCGCCATCAGGAACAGTTCAGTTTAAATGTATGGGCAGGAATTGTTGGAAATGAGCTTATTGGTCCTTTCTTTTTTCCAAGAGTTTTAAATGGGGACACTTACCTAGATTTTTTGCAAACCGATTTGTCCGGTTTATTGGAAAATGTGCCTTTTAACATTCGTCTACGCATGTGGTTCATGCATGATGGTGCTCCCCCTCATTTCCGTTTAACAGTACGCCATCATTTGAATCTTATTTTTCCAAATCGTTGGATTGGTAGAGCTGGTCCAATAGCTTGGCCGCCACGTTCCCCGGATTGCACCCCATTAGACTTTTTTTTATGGGGATATGTGAAAAGTGCTGTTTATGATGCTGGGCCCGTGCATTCGGTTGAGGTCCTCCGTCAACGCATCATTGATGCTTTCCAAAACATAAGAACCACTCCTGGGATTTTAGAACGTGTTCGACGTTCTATGCAAAGAAGAATGGAAAGTTGTATAGCAGCAAGGGGAGGACATTTTCAACATTTATTATGAGATTAATAATTATTTAATTACCCAATAAAGTTAGTTTGATATTGTGAAAGTACCCCCCTTTCGTTGATTACGATTTTCTGGCAAACGGTTAGTTGTATGACAAAAATGCAAGACACCGAATTCTCAGTTTTTTTTATGGCCAATAAGATTATGCTATTCGAATTCATAGTTTCTCTTTTTGAACATAAAAATTGGGCCAATAAAAGTGTGGACCCCCCTCCAACTCCCCCAAAACTGGGTCTACATAATTTTTGGAACAAAAAAAGAATAGAGTGCCTAAAAAAACAGGGGTATGCCAATTTTCAGAAGATTCGATTCGTTATTATAGTCACAGTTTTAGATAATCTTGTTTTTTTTCCCAACTTACAGGGGCTGTAGCTCGGAGGGGGTGCATTTTAGGACACATGTTGATTTGAAGAAAAAGTCTTATTTTGATCCCAACAATACGCCCTTGAAATATTTACATCGAATTTTGAATCACCCTGTATATCATTGGGGTAACGATACTATAATTTTCCTTCATTGATCACATGATACAGAACCCGTATGTACTAATAATTACTGAAAAAACATAAAAAAATCCCGTGAGTCCATTTTAATAGGCACTAAAATGTATTCTTCAAATTCAATCACTGTATATTGTGATAATCTGTTTCTTGTTCAACATTCAAGCTAAATAAATATTCAGTGCATTTTTATTTAATTTTCAAACACTTTTTTACCTCCCCTGTGAAATGTTACAATTCGGACTTACGTGTTATGCAGATTGAGCCGACGATATGTGCTTTTGGAGCACGATATCTGAAAACGCACCGTGAAAAACATTTTGTTTATGTAACTTCTCGAATCATGAGGCAGCTAGGTAAATTACTGATAGAGATCAGGAAAATAGATCAATTCATTCGAAATCTATCCCAAGCATTGTAACCAAAATATTTCGATATCATTGTTGAATCTACGAAAGCAGAGTTATTTTGCTGAACCGGAAGCGACCTGATGAGCTTCAAAGAATGATTCTCGAAACAAATCTATCTGCTAGTTCCGAAAAAAACTCAATATGAAGAATTTGAGAATGTCATCTCTTTCACAGAACAGATATTGCTCAAAAGTTTCAAGAAAATGGTGATAGGGGGCGATTTTTCAAGCAAAATGAGATCAAGGTTTGTTCCTGAGCAAAACATGTATTTATTTGAAAAAACTCAACTTAATGACAACCATAAGTGGGTATAAAGTCTTGCAAAAACATGTCAATGTATGTGGTGCGCGAAACCTGAATCACTTCTACACGTCTGAGGAAGCACTTAGCAACGTTGAGTCAAATTATCAAACATGACTGATAATGATTTAGAGCAACTGGCAACTTTTATGGGTCATACAACAGGAGTCCACAAAAATTTATATAGGTTACCGAACGACGTGTACCAGACAGCTGAGGTGTCGAAACTACTACTTTTGATGGATAAAGGAAACGCTAGTGAGTTCAAGGAAAAAGCATTGGATGGAAAAGAAATAGATATAGAAGATCTTTTTGAGGAAAAAGAGGATTTTGTGGAGAGTGATGAAGAATTACATCGTTTCAATGAAGATAGTGGCATGAATAATGAAGCGGGACCAATTGAAATAGAAACAGCAATTAATGATAGTCCAAAAACGACATCAAAAAAATTTAAACGAATCCTAATCCCATGGACGGTTGAGCAGAAAGAAATCGTGAGAGAATTGTTCAAAGATAATATTGAGAAGAAGATACCACCAAAGAGATAAGAATGTGAACAATTGAGAGGACGTCATCACCCTATTTTAGAAAATAAGAATTGGCTGAAAATAAAAGTATTAATCCAAAATGAATACTCTGAGAATCGATAAAAATATGATTCCTTCTGATCTTTTAGACTTGACCAATAATATAACGATTCTTGACAAGGTGTTACAACCAACTTGATTTTTTTTTTTAGGAAATTAATTCTCATTTTCATTATTGATTGATTTGATTTCAACAAAATCATACATATCAAACAATAATGAAATATTCTGGAGTGGATAACATTATTCCACATGATGGATACTGGTATAGAAAACAAAGTGTGATAAAATTGATTTCCATTGACAAAGTGTCCTGAAATACACTAAGAAATGTGATTATAAGCATATTCATGTCAATAGCGGACTTCTGTATATTTTGCATATTTCTTCCTCAATTTCATAATCAGAAAATGAACAGTATCGATGAGTTCATAACAGACTAACTACAAAAATAGCGGAATTTACATTGCAAAAAATTACAAAAAACTAGTTGCATATTCTTTCCTTATCTGACGATCATGGTATGCTTCCTGATGAAGAAAATTAACGAGTAGTTAAACAACAGGGTTTCTACGGAAATTTGGCAGTTGGCCCACCTAATGAAAATCTATTACATCCATTATGACGTATAACGTTTAGTTCACCTAATAAAAATTTTATTTAATTGAAAAAATATACTCACACCGTATAGAATTTGAACTTTGGATCTCTGGGTTGGCAAGCCGACGCGTCACCTCGTGGCTGTGGGGGGTCCAATTTATCAACGTGCAAGTGTGAGTACGACTCAACTTGTTCCCTGTTTCCGAGAGATATTTTTTGTAGGGCCATGAGTATGGATATTTAACATATGGATGAGTATATGGATATTTGGGGGAGGGGGAGCATTTTCCCTCATTGGGCCAATATGAGCAATTCAAATAAATATATTAGGCTTATGAATGAGTTTTAGTAAATATTTAAATGTTCTACATAGATTTGATTCAACCGTACTGCTAGTGTCCTCACTCGGATGTGAGTGGAAACTGTTTTCTACGCTTACCTTCTCCTATGACAGAGGTCTTTTTGGAGAATCTACTCGTATGTGTTACGCTTCAACCTAATTCCGCGAGGTGTCGCTACTGATACTGTTTTCACTATTTAATATGTTTTGCTAGTCTATGGCCGTTTTTTTTGTGTTGCTAAAGTATTCATCTTCACTATTTTGACACCCTAAACCATAACATATGTTTCGTTCCTCTCATGGGCTATTATCAGAATTCAAAATCAATACCTATATTCGGCTTATGCTGAGTAATAAATGAGATATTTCTGAAAGTAATTTAGCTTGCATGATTATCAATTTTTGTCAAACAATATACATAGTCTGTTATATATTTCTTTCGGAGATTTGAATAATAATAATAATGATAATGATAATAATAATAATTGGCGCCAGCCGAACCGAACATCGTTTTGAAGGAGGAGGAGAAACAGACTAAATATCGAGATGTTCTCTTCGAACTCCGCAGGCTCTATCCAGAACATTCTGTGGAATTGGTCATCCTGATAATCGGCTCCCTAGGAGGCACAAGACATACGCTGCTCTCGGAAATCCAGAAAATCCCAGTGATAAGGCATACATCTTGGCTGGTGGAATGGAGAAGGCCGTCATACTTGGATCATTGCGTTTACTCAGGGCACACGGTTCTTGGTCCCAGTGATTATTCTGAACAATCAAGAGAATATGGAAGGTAATATGGGCAGTTATATATAGAGAGAAACCAAAGTGAAACAAATAAATTCTATAATGTGTGTTTTTTTATAGATGGATCTTAATGCAATGAATTCAATCTCTCTTATAGAAACTGATAAAGCAGTTACATACAAAGCTGACAGATTTGGTTGTGGGTGAACCAAATACAATATATTCAGCAAAATTAGTGAATACTAAATATGGGGAGACGGTCATGCTAGAATTAGAGAAGAACATAGTGTTCCTGCCCCAACGAGTTACTCAGGAGTACAAGTCAAATATACCATACTTCACAGCGGGAAAGTATGCTGTAATATTCAGGGGGACCAAGAACGTTGGGAAACCTCATCCTGCCACATATTCTGAAATAATCGAATCGAAATAAATTTTGGAGGTGAGTTACTTTTTTTATAAATAATAAATAATAATACATTATGGATGAATTCAGAGGAACAATGTCAAAAATTGATGAAACGCTCAAGTTGATCAAAGGCAATTCCGCTGAAAGAAGTTCAATCAATCAACATATAAAAAAGTGTAATGAAGCTTTGGATAAATTAAAACTCAAAGTCGGGCAGAAAAGTAAAATAATTACAAAAATTGGACAATTAAAGTGTTTAGTTGAGTTGAAAAATAAAAATGGGAGGTCGAGGAAGAAGCGTAAGGTTTATTGGGAGGATGTCAATTCTTGTTTCAACGAAAGAGTAGAGACAGGAGTCATCATCAATGTGAAGCATAAAGAAATAAAAGCTTTATTTGCTGATGGATTTCACTTGTTTAAAAAAATTATCAACAAAATTCTAGATCAAATCCCAGCTTTGAAAGTAAATACCTGTTTTTGAGGTGATTTTGTGAAAAAATCAAATGATGAGGAAATAATTAGTCAAAAATATTTCATTTCACCGAATGCAGTTTCAGATCGGGGGACGGACCTCGTTGTGTGGTATCAAGAACATGTTGTTGATCACATCTTAAATAAATTGTCTGAGTTTTCTGAAGAAGAGAGCGGTTGGGCATTACAAAAAATTCAATTGTTGGAAGTTGCAATAAACAAACATGAAATTGGTAATGGAACATCTTTTATTGAAATACCATTAGAAATTTCAAAAAAGAAAGCATGTATCAACATTCAGAATGATGATGAAACATGCTTCTTCTGGAGTATAGTTAGTGCTTTATATCCACCCACAGAAGATAATCACTATACAACTTCCTATCCGCATTATAGTTTAGAAATGCCAATGAAACTGAATCATATGAAAAAATTTGAGAAATTGAATAATATATCTGTGAAGGTTTATGCGTTGGAATTGAATCTTTCCACCAAAGGTTCATCTTATGTGGTAGTACCCGTGAGACTCGCTAAAAGTAAATTAAAACGTCATGTCAATTTGCTATTAATTCAAAACTATTATTTTCCAGAACTGAATGATTATACAGCACCAATGCCAGATTACAATGATGAAACTGAAATAAGTTTCAATATTGCTGGATAAAAAATATGTCGCGTCTGATATCGATGCAAGTTAGCAAAACGAAACAAAAAATTCATTAATGTGATCGTTGTTTGAATTATTTCTATAGTGAGGAAAAATTGAAAACTCATTATGTATTGTGTGAGAAAAAGAACGATTGCAGAATATCATTCCCAAAGTATGACTTTGTAGAATTTACGAATTATGTTAACAAGCAGAAAGTACCTTTTGTAATCTATGTTGATATTGAATCCATTTAAGAACCTTGCAATTCACGATTATCACAAACAACTATGAAATATCAACTACACTAGGTATTTTCGGTAGGTTATTACCTTAAGTGTTGTTATGATGATTCCATTTCTCATTTCAATAGTTATGAGGGTGAAGATTGCATGAAATGGTTCTCAGGTGAGATAAAACGAATTGCGAAGTTCGTAGCGAACAAAATACTAGATATTGTACCCATGATAGAAAAACCGAATAAAAACGGAAATTTCAGTATTTGTCACATTTGTGAAAAAATATTTGAACCGAATGACGTTGTAACGTGAAAATTGCCTTTCCTCGAGTTTTCAGTTCCATCTTTATAATTCACGTATAAAAGCATTGAGACACTGTATCTGAAATTCTTTATTTATATTCCATATTTACATGACACTAGACAATATTGGTGATCCCTTTGTTGATCAGACTTCTACGTCCTGAAAAAACAAGTAAATATGACAATTTGATCAAATAACAATTAGAAAGTACTCACCTGGCTCAGGATGTTCTTTCAGTCTGGGTGTGATTTTTGTGCTTCAAGGATTTCTTCCAAGACCTTGACTTTGATGGGTGTTTGGCCTCTGTGCATTATTTAGCTGGTGTATTTTCTTTTTCTACCATATTTGATAGTCCTTATACTCATATCAGTAATTTCAATGATTATTGTTTTGGTACTATTGTTGAGCTGTCATTGAAATATAGGAATTTCATTAGACGTTTTCATCAAGTTGATTGCCAATTGTCAAGTGATGAGGGCAAGGGTACCTGCACCTGACCTACACCTAACCTGCACCTGAAAAACGCCGAACCTGCAGCGAACAGTTGGACGGTGAAGTGAATTACTGCAGCCAGGATAGTTTTATGACTTTCAAGGTACTGGCGCTAGTCATCCATTTGGAAGGCGAAGAGCAATGTTCCGTGTATTTGTCAAGGTCGTGTCGCATCTGTTCATTCTGGCCCTGTGGAATCCTAGTAGGAAGAAGTCGGGGATGCTCGGTTGTTTCGTAGGTGTCATTTCATTCTGGGCGAATCACAAGTCAGCATTTTAGTCACATGTAGGGCGCTTAAGTCCATCCTGTATTTTCTCCAGTGCGCAGAGATTGCATATTAGTTGTATCCTGTTTTTTCATAATTAATTTTTGGCTGAAAAGTCCTGAAAAGGCACAGGAGGCTATCCTTCCCAAAATTTCAAGACGCCACTTCGGCATTCGGTCTGGTCAAGATGGGCATCGACCATTATTTCTTGAGGAACTTTTCCGAAAGTGATGCCTTTCCTTCTTGGGGTGAGTTGTTGAACCTTTCAAAATCAAGTGTTTCCTTCCACCTATTTGGTTGGCTAGTTTCTATTTGTGATCTATTCCTATAGATCTGTGGGCCTCCTTGGTAACCCGTGTCGACCACGCGGCCATTTTATGCTCACGACTAAAATACTCCATATCTAGGACTGGAGACGTTTTGAGGGGTCAACGGACTCCGAAGGTCCACAA